GAACAGGCAATATTAGCAGTAGGAAATCTTCTTTGGTGCTGGCTTTTCAAGAATATCGTGTATTCTTCAGAATGTTGTATATTGATCCTTAAACAGGATGTTTTCATTTCTTTTTTTAATCTGTTTATATTTCATTCAAGAAAAAATTAAAACTCCAAAGAACCCAAAAGAGACAAAAAGGGGAAAAAACCCCACAAAACAACAAGACATTAAAAAAGAAAAAAGGTATACATATATTATCCCCCCTAACTGAATACTGATTAATACATTACTTCAATATATAAATATATAAAACATACAAGGAACGGTTGCTGGAATTGGGTATATTTAGTTTAATGAAGAGAAGGACGAGGGGGGACATGATAGCAGTATTCCAATATCTCAGGGGCTGCCACAGAGACGAGGGAATCAAGCTATTCTCCAAAGCGCCTGAAGGCAGGACAAGAAGCAAGGGATGGAGACTCATCAAGGAGAGAAGCAACCTAGAACTAAGGAGAAACTTCCTGACAGTCAGAACAATTAACCAGTGGAACAACCTGCCTCCAGAAGCGGTGAATGCGCCAACACTGGAAGTTTTTAAGAGGAAACTGGACAGCCATTTGTCCGAAATGGTGTAGGGTTTCCTGCCTGAGCAGGGGGTTGGACTCGATGACTCCAAGGTCCCTTCCAACCTCCTGCTCCTCCTCCTCCTCCTCCTCATTATTATTATTATTATTATTATTATTATTATTATTATTATTATTATTATTTCTCACACCTTGTGAAACAGCCCCCCCATTTTTACATTAGTAAATCTATCTGCAAGTTATTGACCTGTCTTCTATATATTACATTAGGGATAACATATTTAACAGAAAAAATAATAACAATAAAACAACACAAGATTAAAATTTCAAAACTTTCTATCAACAAACTGTTATTGTAATCCACTCATAGAAAGTTTATCTATCCTCAATCATCCTGAAAAATTATAAATAATTTGTCCTGTATAAAATACCCATGTTTCTTTCTTAATGCCATATCTTATCACTTGTTGTCTAATTAACTATAATAGATTCAGTCTCCACAGTAAGCCTATCTTCCCATCAATGTCCAAATAGAAGTGGTTTCCAATTAGATGTAATAAATCCATTCTTTTCTTTTCCTTTTCAGATACGATTGATTGTATTGAATGCCCAGAAGATCAGTATGCTACCAAGAACAGGGATGGATGCATCCCCAAAACAATAAGCTTTCTTTCTTATGAGGAACCTTTAGGAATCAGTTTAATGTCAGTGGCAGTTTCCTTTTCTTTGATAACAGTGTTGGTGTTGGGAACATTCATTAAGCACAGAGATACCCCTATTGTCAAAGCCAACAACCGGGATCTCACCTACATTCTTCTTATCTCCCTTCTTCTTTGCTTCTTGTCTTCTTTGCTCTTTATTGGACAGCCAAGGGAAGCAACTTGCTTTCTCCGACAATCTGTTTTTGGCATCATATTCTCTGTGGCTATTTCTTCTGTACTGGCCAAAACTATCACTGTGGTGGTAGCATTTATGGCCACCAAACCAGGATCCAAGATGAGGACATATATGGGAAAAAGATTGTCAAGCTCTATTGTCATTTCCTGCTCTCTGGTTCAAGTAGTTACTTGTATTGTCTGGGTGACAACCTCACCTCCATTCCCAAATTTAGATATGTACTCAGTCCCTGGAGAAATTGTAGTAGAATGTAATGAAGGAACCACCATTCTGTTTTATCTTGTCTTGGGTTACATGGGATTCCTATCCTTTATCAGCTTTACAGTGGCTTTCCTAGCCAGGAAGTTGCCAGATACTTTCAATGAAGCCAAGTTCATCACTTTTAGTATGTTGGTGTTTTGTAGCGTTTGGTTGTCTTTTGTTCCAACCTATTTGAGCACCAAAGGAAAGTATATGGTAGCTGTGGAGATCTTCTCCATCTTAACTTCCAGTGCTGGGTTATTGGGTTGTATCTTTTCGCCCAAATGCTACATCATTCTTCTAAAGTCTGAACTAAACAGCAAGGGACAATTGATAAGAAGAAAAAGATGAGGAGTCTCTTATTATCATATAACAATGGCCTACATTTGTATACTAAAGTGGGATTATTTCTGAATTTATATGAAATTATATAGGGCAGAATGCCTACTCAACTAATTATTATTTGCACCAATCAACTTAAAGATATTCAGTTATTCATACCAATATTGTGGCAAATTTATTTGAATTTGGAATGAAAAATAAAATTTGGAATAAACTGTTGATTTATTTATCATTCATGTAGTGTCTAAATGCCATTGGAGCATTCATTGGGAACAATTGCTCTCTACTGTTGCCATATCACTCATATTTTCCAGAAACTAAACTTAAAGGACACTCTTTTTGCTTGTTTTAAGGCAGCTATGAAGATTGAGTAGCCCGTTCAATCTTTAAACTAAACAAATCCACATTGCATTGACCTGTAGCAATACATTTTGGGCAAAATATGTCCACAACTGCTTCTCAAATACTTGCTGCTGACTCATCAAAGCAGCTGCATCTTTTTTCAAGATCAGGCAGCTGCTTTAAAGAGTTGCAGATAGCTGCCATTTTGAACTGAACCTGAAGTCCAACTTAGATTTATTAATAATTAATGTAATTGGAGGACCATTTTTTGAAACATAGGAGGAGAGTGAGATGTGAGCAAATCTCTTTCTGTGTATTTCTCTCTGTGTGTTTTTGTCCCTCTCTCTTGTGCTTGTATGTATGTGTTCTGTTGGGAAAAGACAATACAATCAATTCACTTTGGAGAGGAGGTGGGGTGGAGACCACGTTTGCCGGTAAAACTGTTGCTGTGACTTGATGGTGGCAGATGCAATTATCATGCCTATAATCCCTGAAACCACTGTTATTTAGTTTTCTTTATTTTAAAGTTCACTAAATAAACAATATCTGAACAGGTTAACCCAGTGACAAGAAATCTTCTGTGAGGCTGAAGGCTGGAAAGAGAAGACCAACTGTGTGCGATGCGGTGTGAGGGCAGAGTCTTGTCTACACTGCCTGGCTGCCATGTCCTTGGCTGTGCTGCTCCGTGTGGGCCACACTCAGGAGTGACTTTCCTCCAAGGGGGCTGCTGGTGAGGAGGGGGTCAAGGGAGGAGGCAAGACTGGGGCAACAGCATGTGTGCCCAAAGAAAGGGCTCCAAGTGCCGCCTCTGGCATGCATGCCATAGGTTTGCCACCACTACTATATACTATTCTATATATTCTATATGATGCAGTCTTTGTCTTTTCATTTACAATTTTCTTTTCACTGTGTTGTTCCAAAGGTTTTTTTTTTCCAAAAGGCACTGTCCTGGACTTTCTTGTGTTTTTTATTTCCCTTTTGAAAATGTTTCATTTCCCATCCAAGAAGCTACTTCAGTGCTAACTGACTGGTGAGGAATGGAAGAATTTATATTCTTTGCAGTCATCTGTTCTGAAGACTGCAGATGATTGCACAAAAAATATAAACTCTTTCATTCCCCACCAGTCAGTTAGAACTGAAGAAGCTTCTTGGATGAGAAGTGAAATGTTTTCAGAGGAAAAAGGACAAGAAAGTCCAGTTGCCTTTAGGGAAAAAAAAGCACCTTTGGAAACAACCATGATCTGGATGATTGAGGCTCTCCATAGACATTCTCAATCCATAGTACCTACACAGATATATTTTTGACCCTTCTTAAAACTTTATTGGCCACATCAATACAATTGAACCAATATCTGTGGGGTTTCTTGAGTCTCACACACTGAAATATGAACCAAATTTGAGGCTGCTTAGCTAGCCACAGTATGGCTCAATGAGTGATGTGGTGCCATATGCTACTACAGACCTGGAAGGGTCATTGTTGATTACAGAATTTTAGTAACTTTTTGAAAAGATTAATCAGACATTTGATCAACCTTAAGAGAAATGTGATTTCTGATGGCCTTGTGAATTTGTAATTGAACTGGCAATGAAGCAATGTCAAAAATCGCCTCCCCCAACCTGTAATTCCAACATTTCCTGGTGATGTCCTATGTAACCAACCAGGTCCAATCCTAAGTATAACAACAGATATTTGGGGATGTCAAGACATAAGGTCCACTGTTATATTTTTCCATCTGATGCAGATGCAGAAGTTGCAAGATTCACATCACTATGTCATGATATGTCCCCTCTTAACATTTAGTGTAATGAATTGTAACTGAAGGGCCTCTTTATATATACATATATTTATATGTATGTGTATGTATACATATATGTGTACATGTGTATCCATGTCTCTGTGTTTCTATATATGTGTCTCTGTATCCACATCCAATGGAACACTCACAGTTTTTTCCCAGATATTTTCATTCTTGGTGGTCCTTCCTTGTATAAGAAAGAGCTCTACATCCTTTTCTATTATCTCTGCTAAATTTCACCTTTGGTTTTCTTGTAAAAAGCCACACTTCTAATATCAAACCAAATCAAATCACTTTTGATTAAAGTAATTTGTCACCATATACTTTGAATAAAGGATGAGATATCAGGAGGAATACATTTTGTTTCACTACATTTTCCTTATTATTGATTAACCGGATAATAAGTTACAGTACAAATAGTTGGATGGATAGAGAGTCAGCACAAAACTTTTTAAAAATAACATTATATGTACAGGTTTCAAAACATCCAGAAACACTAAATTTCAAACAACCCTAACCAATCCAAAACTGAAACTTTGTGATAACCGTGTAAAATACATGTTTCTCTGAAAATGGATAGATACTCAAATACATTCAAAATAAGAAAGGGCTAGGTTAAGAGAATGGTTGAAAACCTAGCAGCCTGAACACTTATTTTGCAATGGGTACTCATAGGAAATGTCAGAAATCATAATAATCTTCCATAAACCCTCTTTTGACAGAAATATCTACTTCTATATGTACCTCTAGACAGCAATCAGATGTTCTATTCTTGTTTGGCAACCATTTAATATAGTGAGAAATATTACATGATATACTAATAATTCCTCTTCATGAGTTGCTTTCTGTGGTTTAGCTCAGGCCAGAAAACAATGATGTAGCACTTTGGCAAGAATATGCATCCCAGTAATGCAGCGCTGGAGGACAAGATGGAGAAGACCTCCACAGCTACCATGGCTTTGCCTTTTGTGCTCAGATAGGCTGGAAAGAAGGAGACCCACACACTGCAAAAGGCCAACATGCTGAAGGTGATGAACTTGGCTTCGTTAAAACTGTCAGGTAATTTACGGGCAAGAAAAGCCACAATAAAGCTGGCAATGGCCAAGATACCCATGTAGCCCAAGACACAGAAGAAAAAGAAAGCTGATCCCTCATTGCACTGTAAAATCATTTCTTGAAGCTCTGAATGCATATCCAACTCAGGGAATGGGGGAGATATCAACAACCAAAGGATACAAATACACACTTGGAAAAGAGAACAGGAAAGGACAGTGCAAAAAGCTAATCTTTTCCCCACCCATCTCATCATCTGAGATCCCGGTTTAGTGGCCATGAAAGCAACAACTACAGTGATGGTTTTGGCCAGAACACTAGAAATGGCCATTGAAAAAGTGATGCCAAACATTGATTGTCTGAGAAGGCAGGTCACTTTGCCAGGCTGGCTGAGAAAGAACAAAGAGGAGAGAAAACAGAGCAGAAGAGAGACAAGTAGGATGTAGGTGAGAAACCGGTTGTTGACTTTGACAATAGGAGTCTCTCTGTACTTAATAAAAATTCCAAGTGCCCAAGTGGTCAAGAAGAAGAAACAAAAAGCCACTGAGGCTAAACAATGTCCCAAGGTTTCTTCAAAAGTTAGAAAGACTACCGATTTCAGGATACATCCTTTCTTTTCTTTATTTGGATAATGATCTTGTGAACATTCAAAACAGTCATCCATATCTGAAAGAAAAGTCAAGACATTTTTCATTTATCTATTCTATAGCAATAGCAACAGCAATAGCACTTAGACTTACAGTATACTTCTTCATAGAACTTTACAGCACTCTCTAAGTGGTTTACAAAGTCAGTATATTGCCCCTAATAATCTGAGTTCTCATTTTACTGACTTCGAAGTGATGGAAGGCTGAGGGAACTTGAGCCAGTCAGGATCGAACTCCTGGCAGTGAGCAGAATTAGCCTGCAATAATGCATTCTAACCACTGCATCACCACAGCTCCTAGTCATAATCTGTTTGATTGCCAACTGTTGTTCCATTTTGAATTCTTTCCACATGTTACCAGTTGGATCATGTTTCTATGAAAATACATTTTACCTCAATGTGATCATGTAGAATTGGCATAAATGAAAGGAAGTGTAATTGTTCTTTGAAATGCAATTTTTCCCACATTTTCAAATGTATTACAATATAGGCAATGTGAATTTTCCCATTTTCCCAAAACATGGGAAAAAATAACTGTGATAATGGATATATAACAAGTAAGAGAATGAGAAATATGGACTCTGAGGTGCAAACAATATAATACATTTAAACCTGTTTAGCTCCTTCCTAAAGAGTGAGTAAACTAAGAAAAGATTGGTATTTTTATTTGAAAAAAAAGGTGGGGTCCAAGAAGAATAAATAGACATTCATTATTTAAACTTCAATCAGAAGTTTAAATTTAATTTGCTTCTCCTTTTTTTCCTATGCTATCTTTAAAAGAGATTAGTGGTCATCAAACCATACTTTTCAGCTCAATAAAACGAAAAAGAAGAAAAAAATAAAGAAATTGAATTAAATTAATGCTCATATACTCCAAATATATGCTCAGATGCTTTGTTCTTTGTTTTGTAAGAAGAAAATAGGTTGTCTTTGTTTTTTCAGCATCCTTTTTCTTTGATTCTGAGTCTATTCTATGTTACTGGCTGATTACCTCTCATTCATGTTTTTACTAGGTCAGACATTGCAAAGCTGGATTTATAATGAGTAGGTTGTCATTCCAAACAATTTGGTTCAGCATATACTCCAGGAAATATTAGGAAAAGGTGCCTGGTATTAATCATCTGAAAATTATTACATTCATATAGCATCCAAAGTTAATCAAAATAATGTGCGACCATCAGTATTCTCAATATTTGCTACTGTTACATGGACACTGAAAGTCACAGAGACAATAACACCAATGCAAAAGAAATTAGAGATGTGGATATTAGCTTCTTCTTCTTCTTCTTCTTCTTCTTCTTCTTCTTCTTCTTCTTCTTCTTCTTCTTCTTCTTCTTCTTCTTCTTCTTCTTCTTCTTCTTTCTCTCTCTCCCTCTCCCTCCCTCCCTCCCTCTCTCTCTCATCTGTTATCTATCATCTATCTATTATTCCACTGGGAATAGACAGACAGATATCCCTAGTGGAATAATAGTTGCAGGATTCCCATAAACAAATTTGAGAATCAACCATAAATATTCCCCATTAAAAATTGGTAAAACTTGTAATTATACAAATACACATCTAGGATGTTACCTTTATTTGAAGCCTATATAAGGAATGTTTTTAATGAAAAATTAATGGTCTAATATAAAAATATGGTGACAATACCAGTTTGATTTGAAATCTTCCCCTCTGAACATGGAACACAATCATAACAACAGAACACTCTCCCTTCAGCACTTTTCTTCCAGTAACCCGGGGAACAAGGATCATTACACAGAGAAACAGGCAAAACCTAGAGATATAGACATAGATATGAAAGAATCTGGATTAGACAATGGAAATGATCAAAATTGGATTATATGAATGACCTTTGACTTTATTAATATTTGGGTGGAGGTGTAGAAATTCCTGAAATCATAGAGACAAGAACAACAAGCAAAAGAAATTGCAACTCTGCATAATAACAACTACTCCTAATATAAATAAGGGTCATCTGGTGAAATAAAATATGATGATCTCTTCTTTCTTTCTTTCTTTCTTTCTTTCTTTCTTTCTTTCTTTCTTTCTTTCTTTCTTTCTTTCTTTCTCCCTCTCCCCCTCTCCCTCTCCTCCTCTCCCTCTCTCCCTCTCCCTCATCTCTCTCTCTCTCTAATCTATCTATCTATCTATCTATCTATCTATCTATCTATCTATCTATCTATCTATCTATCTATCTATCTATCATGACCTGCAGCATTGTTATATAATATGAATTTTCTCTAGACCATTGCAGAAATTTAGGGCTATAGTATGTTTGAAAACGATGATGGGAGACCTATTCTAAAAATAATAAAACTTCGTGAGGACATTTTATGATGGACCTAGTGGCCTATTTTCTTGGTAAGGATCAAATATTTTATCCTTGTTTTTTTCCACCACATTTTTATCTTTAATTTTGAGTCTACTTTACAAACTGTAATAGGCTGTTCATCTCCCATTCATAACTTTGTTAGGTCAGACATTGCTTAGCTGGACTTATGAGTAGGTGGAGACCCAACACATAATCCAGGAATCATCATCACAACACCTGATTTTAATCATAGTATATGAAAATTCCTACATCCAACTAGCACCCAAAGTTCATTAAGACAATATTTGTTACTGTTGCATGAGGATGGAATAGTAGGAGCAAGAAGAGCAATGCAAAGAAGAATGCAAGGGTGAACAAAAACAACTTCCACTACTAATAAAAGCTAAAGTTTCTGTGATGAAATAAGATCTTCCTCCCCCCTCCCATCATCTATCAATCTATCTGTCTGTCTTTCTGTCTGTCTGTCTGTCTACCTACCTACCTACCTACCTACATACATACATACATATAATGACTTGCAGCATTGTTATATAATATGAGTTTTCTCTAGACTATTGCAGAAATTCAGAGCTGTAATATGTTTGAAAATGATGATGGGAGACCTATTCTAAAAATAATAAGACTTCATGAGATTTTATGAGGGAATGAACATAATTTCATACCTGGTTAAAACCAGGGTGCCAAATGATTGTGTTCTCAATGACAACCTCTTTTCCTTTTAGAGCACTGGGGTGTAACTTTCCAACTTTAACTCTCTGAAAGGATCTGTTTGGGAAAGTAATCATATTGATGATGTCAAAGCCACCTGGACTTTCTCTTCTGTCTTTAAAGAAGACTCTTTCTCCAGCTGAGTTGTTAAAAGAAACCTGTTGAAGAAATTTGTGAAGCTACTCAAAGAAGAAGAAGAAGAAGGAGGAGGAGGAGGAGGAGGAGGAGGACGAGGAGGGGGGAGAAGAGGAAAGAGGGAATAAAAAAAGGAAACAATGAATCATGGATAAAATAATTAAAGTTCTATTCCCAGGAAACCAACTAACATTTATTGGTTTGAAATACAGAAGAAGAAAATGTCCACCCACAAAGAATGATTAATAACTGAGATATGGAACTCACTTTTATTTTATGAATTAATTCTGACAAATACTTTAAAGCACCAAATTCAGCATTTCTCCTGGTACTTTATCATAAATCTGAAAACCAACTTCACTTCATAGAAATAATATACCACTACTATCAAAGAAGAACTATGATAACCCCTAGGTCTCCAGTCTAACAATCCAGTATTGAATACATTGCAAAAAGCTAATACAAGTAAAATGTCCACATTTCAGAAAGGTTTGTAGGTCACAAAAAAAGGTTAGCCTGCATTCAGACACAATACAATTGAATCCTTCATGGAACCAGGCTGGTTAAATTTACAAGACAGGCCAATTCAATGTAGAGATGAAACATTTATTTATGGAATGAACATTGATACATAAATTCTATTGACTAGGCTGAAATTGACAAAGACATGATTTATGTCCATCTTCTATTTTATAACATAGAATGACCTCAGACCCTAAAACCCTTGTGCCTCAGTCTCTCTATTGATCAGTGCCATAGGACAGGGTAAATAAGCTATGATAGCTGAAACACAAGATAGGTGAGGCATGGAGAGATTACCTGCCAAGGCTGCAGATTTGGAATTTCAATCCTTTGATATTCTCTCAGTTGGGATTTTGGTCTCATTGCCTCATGCAAAGAATGTGCCACTGCATAAACAGCATTGTAGATACTGTAGCTTTGGCCAGTCATCTTCAACTCAAACAGAGGTGCAGGCAGATTCTCCAAATTCTCTTCCCCCCTACAGGTTCCACTAAATATTGAAGGTAAATCTGCCTTTGAAAATATACAGTCAAACAATTGTTGCCAAACATCTTGAAGAAATCCATCCTTGTGGGTTGAAGGTTTGATGACTTGAAGAAATTCTTTAAAGCCTTTAACTTCTCTTGAATGCACTGTAAAGGAAAGAGCTCCATGGAACAACTGGAGATCCCAGTTCCTTTGAAATCCTGTCAGTATGAAATCAATTGGATTCATCAGGATCCAAACTTTCCTAAATAATCCACTTTCTTTATTTTCAGGATCATGAAGAACCACAACAGTTCTGAGCCACACTATTGTGAATGATTCTCCATAGACAAGAAAAACACTTGCTTTCTGATCTATCAATTTATTAGAAGTAATTGAGATTGAAACAAATAATTCTGGGAAGTCTTCCAAGTTGATACGTTGTGGAATTTTTTGTATGAAAGCTAAACAGATCCCATTCTGTGAAATCAATGGCTGCAGTTTCTGCAAAAAATATTCTCCCTTGGTTTCCAATGCAAAGATTCCAATCCACCTCCATCCAAAATGGAGGAGAAGTTGTATAACTGCCATGTACTGATAGTCCTCATTTGGCACCATGCAATAAAGTGAAGATAATTTGGTACTCTGAAACTCTTCTTGGGCAAAAGAGCCATAGGTCAACTACAGGAAAAGAATGAAAGAAGGAAGGAAGGAAGGAAGGAAGGAAGGAAGGAAGGAAGGGAGGGAGGGAGGGAGGGAGGGAGGGAGGGAGGGAGGAAAGGAAGGAAGGAAGACAGAAAGATGAAAGGAAAGGAAAGGAAAATTATTATTTATGATAATCAGTGGAAAAAGAGGGAAAAATGACTCCTAGATGGAAACTAAACAATTAAAAAGTTCTCAAACTCTAAGTACATTATGATTTTGATGAACATTACAGCAATAAAATCCCCAATATGAAATATTTTCTCACTGAATGAATATAACTGGACTAAAAGCTAATTTTAGTTTTCTACTATGGATAGACCATGTCTATGAACAGCCTGAAACCTGCTAACTATCTGAGCATATAAACTCTTCCTAGCTTAGGAAAAAAGCTTTTTAAGAGCTAGGATTGTTGTGTTACCTTCTGCTGTTCTCTGCCCCAGGTAGAGAATGCATGAAAGACTATCCACAAGACTCTGGAGGAATAGAAAAAGTCAAGTACAGTATATCTTCATTTACTGCAATTATTATAGAAATCTCCAAAAGTAACATAAAGCTCCAATCCTTCAACAATTTCCAAGCAAATCAGTTGAATTTTACATTCAATTATTATTAACAGACACCAACCCAGACATAGCAAAGAGAGTTGTCACTATTATTGGGTGACTTGGTGGAATCTAGCAGTGTGTTGAGGGCAGCAGTGAAAATGCTAGATAGCCTTGAGTTGGGGATGGGCAGGAAGTGACTGAAAGGAGGTCCTCCCATGAGACATGACAGCAGTTTTCCAATATTTATGAGTTCCTACAAAGATGAGCGGTAAATTATTTTCCAAAGCTTCCAAAGGCAAGAGGAGAAACAATGGATGGAAACCAATCAAGGAGACAAATAACCTAAAAATGAGAAATTTCCAATGGGGAGAATAATTAACCAATGAAACAACTTGCATTCAGAGGTTGTGGGTGCTCCATTACTGGAGGTTTGAAAAAGAGACTGGAAAATCATTTATCTGACACTGTATATGTTCCCCTGCTCAAAGAGTTTATGTAGTAATTGTGTAGCATGTGCTAGCCAGCCTTTTCACTCCTTATCTCAACACAGCTCCAGAATTCAACCACCAATAGTGGTCAAATCAGAAGAGCAAATGACCCTCTCAAATAAGATTAATTTTGTACTGTAATTTGTGATTTACATTTTACTTTTCTAATCTATCAAATAAAAGGTTTTGATATTCTTCACTGACTACTTGGAGCCAACCTATTGAGTTGTGGGGGGAAATTGCAGACAGGAGAAAAAAGTGGATTGAATTGAAGTCCTGCAGAAAGGGACACCCAAAAATAATCTCTGATATTCATTACACATGAAGTCAAATTACCTGTGGAATCTTGAAGAGGTTTATGCTTTCTGACATAAAGGATGAAGTAGGAGCACCTAGTCCTCCAATGACAGCCATGAGATTCTTCTGGTTATCACATTTGTAGTTAGGGACAAATTCCTGGGATTTGAAAAGCAGGTCCAGAGTGGTACGATAGGTCAACCTTGGGTTGTAGTAACTATCATAGATATGGAACCCAAGGGTGATGTTAGGTAAAATCTGGGAGTCTTCATTGATCTCCTTCACAGCAAAGGCCACGGCAAGGACATGCTGATAAAATTTGGTTATTACACTGCAAATAAATTAAATAACCCATTGAAAAAATAATTTCACAATTCTTGTAAAGTGGCAGCATTTCTATATGAATAACAAACCATCTCTCTTGGAAGTAGGAATAGAATATCCTTTCTAAAATATTTAATAGATTTCCACAGAGTTCAATTTTACATTTTACCTGGTGTTTTCATGATTTTCAATAATGATATAATACAGCAAATAAAAGTAGTGACTTTTTTCAGTTAACAAATATAATTCTAACAATTTGGGCACAAAGTATAATAGGATCAGCTTCAGCAAGTATCACTCATTTACTGTATGTATATTTTGTGAGGGCTGATCATGCAGAACATTTTTTCAATTACCTCAAGCTCATTAAATTTAAATTATACAATAAATTAATCATTATATTAAAGTCTTTCTCTTGATATTCATGTTATTTTGGTGTAAGAAGTCCTTCAATAGACTTCTTGTACCTAACTTTCATGCATATCATGTTAAGGACATTAATATAATGTAAAGAAAATGCTTTCTTCTGCTATAAGACAGTACATGTGAAAGATAAAGGCTTGTATGTGTGTGTTTGTGTGTGTGTGTAAACCCTGCATTTATTTTCAAAAGCTTTTACAGCTTTCTTATGAAAGTTTGGTGTAAAATGTCCTTCAATAGACTTCTTGCACCAAACTTTCATGCATTTCACGAGAAGGTCTTTAATAGAATGTAAAGAAAGCATATATCAGAAATTTTGGGTGACCTGGCTAAGCTAAGAAAATACATGGGAAAAATAAAACTTCTTACAGAGGTAAGTCATAAGGTTTTAGAGAAGGGTGTTCCTTAAATTCAATTTCATAAAAGTGGTAAAAAATGTGAGACACCATCCCACCAATGACAAGATCACCAGGCTGGAACCACTCATGTGGAACAGGGAAAGCTTCACTTGAAGGGCATCTCAGAGTAACTACCTTGTGCATCAGGAACATCAAAAGGAATAACATCTTCATGCTTTTGGGATGGTGAAAATGTTTTTGTCTTCCAGAGTATGTATGCACTCCAATGGTTCATCCGATGTTTAATCCAAAGATTTTATCTGAAAATGCCCTTCATGGGACAATCCATCAATTTCTGTTTGAAGAGCAATGTATGTGCCAATTTGTATCTTGAATATCACCAGATTCGGAATATATATTCTGGCAAGGAAGAAAGGCAGGAGGGAACATGACACAGTGAATCAGCCAGGATCATTATTATCCCTTGTGCCAATCTCCCTGTGGTTTAAAAGTTAATTAACAACTAAACACATACCTTGATTGTTGTTGAATTGAAATGCCTTCATGCAAAGTCTTTAATATTTGAGCCTAGCTAAAAAAAAATAATATGATGATTCCGCTAGATAATTGTTTTATTTTTCATGGAGCAGCATGGTGGCCTACAGGGGGAGTTTTTGCTTCTCAGTTAGGAGGCTGTGAATTTGATCCTAGGTAGTGGCAGATGTTTTTCTCTTTGGGCATAAAATATCTGTTGTGAACTCCATGTAGGCATCAGGAAGGGCATCAGGGCAGTAAATGCTCAGGTCCATTCAGTCACCCTGATTCCACCCCAAAGCAAGCGATTACAAGGTCAATAAAAGAAAAAAAATATTTTTCATGAAAGAATAAATGGCTAATAGTTTAATTATTTTTTTAACTGAACACAGGCCAATATAAATAGTCTACGTTAGAGCATCACAAACCACAATAGGAAATATTGAACTGATACATAAAGAAAAGAAAAATTGTGGTTACTGAGTGTGACTATGAGAATTTCCATGGCTCTGTTTCAGTAGGTTGTGTGTTCCATCAACGAATCCTTGTCTTCATGCATAGTGTCCCATGAGGATCCCTGGATATCGTTTCTGAAACTGTCATGGCTACCTCACCATATGTTTGCTGCATATTTTGTGGATGCTGCTTCCTTTATTGTTGATTGTTGATCCTAAGAAAAAAAATTTAAATTTCAGGATCTTGTTTCTCAGTTCTGGTTGCTTCATATTAATCTGGTTTTTTAAAAACTATATTTAATCATATCCTCACTAGCAGCAGGAATTTAAATTTTTAAAATGCTTTTGCTCAGCAAGTTTGGGCCTAACTAAGATTCCTGTAAGAAATAATTATTTTCCTATTGGTGAGATAATAAATGTCTGATGGTTTAATAATGAGAAAATGCCAATTAAAATAATATATAGTAAGGGACAATGACAATAAAAATAGGCCTAATTGTTCAAATTCATGTTCATTTCTTACAATGGAGCAGGATTCCCAGTTTTCATGTAAAATGAACTGAGTAGTTGAAGAGAGAAGAGGAAACATTTTTATTTATTAAGGAATGCAAATTAAACAAGATAGCCATTTGGATGAATTTGGTGGTAGGGCAATGTTGGAAGAAGGAATCTTTGCCTACTTTGCAAGAATGGTTTCTTAAAGTTTCTTATTTGGCGGAAATGGCAAAGATTTCGGCTTTTTTGAAAGATCAATCGCAAGAGAAGTATCTCTTGGTATGGAAAAGATGGATAGATTTTATACAATATAAGTTGGATATAAAAAAATATTATTTAGTTTTTGAATAACTTATATTTAAAGTTTAAGATATTTTATAGATATTTTTCTTAATTCATTATTTTCCTTTTTTATTTTATTTTTTCTTTTTCTGTTTCTTTTTTTCTCTCTTCTTGCTTTTTTATATATACTGTTCTCAACTATTTTATAATTTGTGTAATTAATGTATTCGGATATGTTCATGGAATATATGTGTTTTAAGATTTTTTTTAAAACTTTAATTAAGCCTGTATCCAGCTCTGGGAAGGTTGGGGGAGGGTAGGGGAGGGTCGGGAGATTTCAGGGAAGGGAACTTTTTGGGGGGGAAATTTAAAAAATTTTCAATTAAAAAAAAAAAGATAGCCATTTGGATGAATTCACTCATATTTCCAGGCAGAAAATGCTAATGTGAATCAACAGCAATATTGATATCATGAAATTAAAATACAGAACCCAAAGCAATTTATTTATTTACTTATTTATTTATTGTTTTGACAAATAATTCAAAGCATCAAACATATCCAACACATTTTCCTGTTCCTATTTTTCCCCAAACAGCAATGACCCTCTGAAGTGAGTTGGGCTGAGAGAGAGGGACTGTCCTAAAGTCACCCAGGTGGCTTTCATGGTTAAAGTAGAACTCATGGTCTTCTGCTTTTTAGCCTGGTGTGGTATTTTATTAGCCATATATTATATGATGGAAGGAGTCTCCACCAAAGGACTAGTGGAAGACATACCTAAATCAAACCAAATCAAATCAAAATCTATTACTGACACCAGCCAGTGTGTGTTTCTAAGAAGGGATGAGGTAGAAGGAAGATTACATTTCATATCTCTTTAAATTGCAACATTATTAAAATTGGATAGTAGGGTACAATAAAAATATATTATTAATCATTTTCCATAGCCAGAAAGAACACATGATGTAGTACATTCTCTTTATTAATTGTTCCCTGTGGTTTAGCTCAGGCCACAAAACAATGATGTAGCACATATTTTACATGCATATATTACATAATATAAGGGGTCTCCTCCAAAGGACTAATGGAAGACATACCTAAGTCAAACCAAATCAAATCAAACTTTATATGGACATCACTCAGCATACACTTCTAGTAAGGGATGAGGCAGTAGGAAACTTAAATTTCATATAATAAAGATACCTTGGTGGATGCAGAGTGAATGGCTAGACTGTTCATGAATTTTTTTAAAAAAAACAGAGTTAAATGTATATTAAATGCTCAAAAACATTTTACCTTTTACCTTTCAAAGATCACCAATCAATCCAAAACAGACTCACTAAGATACTGAGCTAAATACATGTCTATAAAATATCCATTAGCTTTTTCCCATATTTATACAGTGGTTTATAAAGTGAAGTTATAAAAACCATGAATTGCCAGCTGCCCTTTATCCTTAAAGTCAATATGTCAAATCTCCTAAAAATATAAACAGACAGATTGTCAAAATCTTGTTAGCTTGATGTATTCAAAGGAAAAAAACGTTAGGTAAAACAATCTGATGTACTACATTCTCTTTATTAGTTTTTCCCTGTGGTTTAGCTCAGGCCGGAAAACAATGATGTAGCACTTTGGCAAGAATATGCATCCCAGTAATGCAGCGCTGGAAGACAAGATGGAGAAGACCTCCACAGCTACCATGGCTTTGCCTTTCGTGCTCATATAGGCTGGAAAGAAGGAGATCCACACACTGCAAAAGGCCAACATGCTGAAGGTGATGAACTTGGCTTCATTGAAACTGTCAGGTAATTTACGGGCAAGGAAAGCCACAATGAAGCTGGCAATGGCCAAGAAACCCATGTAGCCCAAGACACAATAGAAGAATGTAGCTGCCCCCTCATTGCACTGTAAAATCACTTCTTGGGGCTCTAAGTGCATATCTAACTCAGGGAATGGGGGATATGTTGACAACCAAAGAGTACAAATACATACTTGAACAAGAGAACAGGAAAGGACAGCAGCAAAGGTCAATCTTTTTCCCACCCAGTTCCTCATTTGAGATCCAGGTTTCGTGGCCATGAAAGCCACAACCACCGTGATGGTTTTGGCCAGTACACTAGAAATGGCCACTGAGAAGGTAATTCCAAAAGTTGGTTGTCTGAGAAGGCAGGTCACTTTGCCAGGCTGGCTGAGAAATAAAAAAGAGGAGAGAAAACAGAACAAAAGCGAGACACGGAGGGTATAGGTGAGAGACCTGTTGTTGGCTCTGACAATGGGAGTGTCCCTGTGTTTAATAAAAGTTCCAAGTACCCAAGATGTCAAGAAGAAGAAACCAAGAGTGACTGAGGCTAAAACGATTCCTAAAGCTTTTTCAAAAGTTAGAAAGACCAGCTGTTTCAGGATACATCCTTTCTTTTCTTTATTTGGGTAATGATCTTCTGAACATTCAAAACAGTCATCCATATCTGGAAAGAAAAGCCAACGAATTTGTCATCTATCCATTTTGCGTTTTTGAAAATTTTAGCCTGTGTGGATGCCAGTTCTATAATGTACCTTTCTGATAAAATGATATTTAGAGTAGAACAGAAGAGAACAGAACAGAATAGAACAGAACAGAATAGAATAGAAACTTTATTGTCACTTTGAATGTACACTAATTGGAATACATTAAAATGCATACAGCTCTCAAAGGGACACGTCCATCCCTTTATTTTTTCTTGACTTTAAGATGCTTTTGTTTTCTACGTGGAGAACAATAGTTGGTTCTACAAATATCCATCCCGGGTGCCTTGGATGATAAAATAACTGATCCGTTCATAAGACATCTGTGACCTAGTGAAATTCCCTTTGCTTCTACGTATTTTCCGGTTTTTATGGAAGTTAAAACTTGGAAAATGGCAGATCATGTGGAAAAGAAATGTTGCATTCATTGCAGCTAAACTGACCTTAATCAGTTTATAGCACTCAGAATGTTGAGGGTGAAGGTTCATTCTCTCAACTTTTTGTTACCAGGCTAGGTAACATTTTCAGTGGCATTTAGGAGATTTCTATTTCAGTGCTTTACTATTTATAAGTGCTTTAGGTGGGGATGTGTCAAGTGAGAGTCTTATGATGGGTCAGGTATGAGTCATGAGAGAGGGGCTTGTGATGGGCTTTGTGATGGGGAAGGTACTTCAGGTCATGATCATTGTAGAGTGTGAATTATCAGTGGCTGAGGTATGAGTCATCAATGAGAAGATGGTGATGGATCTTGACCCCCTGATAATTCACATCCTCCAATGGCTCTGACCTCTCGATCACAAGCTCATCTCTGATCACTCACACCTGACACATCATAAGACCCTCATTTGACACACCCACACCTGAAGTCCTTATAAAGGAAATATATGAAACACAAGGACTGCGGGACGGGGACGGCCTTCCAAGGGCCCAAATTTGGCCCTTGGAGCTGTTCCAGAAATGGCAAGGGATCAGCCCCCGCTGCCCCAACCTCTGTTGCCCCAGCCCTGGCCCATCCCAACCCAGCTTGGCACCCTCCCAATGCACACACAGGAAAATGCGTGTGCTTGGCTGCTGGTGGTGCACAGGAACAGCTGCAGCTCATTTGCCTCATCCTGCTCTGCCATTCCCAGCCTTGTCCAACCTCTCCCCACCTCACCCGTCACACCTGGACATGCCCGGCTTTGATGGCCCTCTCCTCTTCCAGCTCTGCTTTGCTGGGCCTCGCCTCACCACGTCCAGCTCCACTTTGCTGGGCCAGGCACCAAAGCACTGCTGAAAACAGTGGAGTCTGTATGTGCACCTGCCTTGCCCACATCAGCCTTGCTCTCCATGGCATGCTACAGCTGATCTGAGGCATGGAGAGCATAGCTGACGGGTGAGTTTGTAGCAGGCACACACAGAGACTCCACTCTTTTCAGTGCCCCTTCTTGCCACTGGGGCTGCTGCTCACCTTCCTAGGCACTAGCGCCTCCATGCCCCACTCACTGGCCTGATCTCACAGCCTGCAAGGCTTCCCTTTCATTGGGATCATCCTGCCCCCCTAATGGAAAGCCATGTCCGGTGGCCACCAGCGACACTATTAATATCTCCCCCTCCCCTCACCCATTTCTTGAGCATGGAGGAGACAGAATGGGACTTTTAAGCCATGAGGCTTCTGCCTGCCAGCACCTGATAGGAGATCAAAGGGGCTGTTGGGGGGATACGGCAGGTGAACAATGGTGGCATGCACTTTCTGGCATGGATAAGAAGTGAAACTGCCCTTTCGGCAGATGTAGAGTCAGTCCTGGCATGAAATTGATAACCTACCAGTTCCGTTAGAAATCTTTCCTTCCAGGCATGGAACACAGTCATAGCAACAGAACTGACTGCCTTCAGCCCTTCTCTTCCAGGATCCAGGGGAACAGTGGTCATTACACAAAGAAACAGGAAGAACCTACAGACATAAACATAGCCATTGATATGAAAGAATTCCGATTAAACAATGGAAATTATTTACATTGGGTTACATAAATGACCTTTAACATTGTTAACATTTTACACGGTTAGGGTTATTTGTTCCTTTGTATCTGAACATGATTGAGCCATAGTGGCACAATGGTTAGAATGCAGTATTGCATGCTAATTCAGGTCATTGCCAGGAGTTCAGTCCTCACTGGCTCAAAGTTGACTCAGCCTTCCATCCTTCTGAGGTCAGTAAAATGAGGGCCCAGATTTTTGGGGACAATATGCTGATTCTGTAAACTGTTTAGAGAGGACTTTAAAGCACTATGAAGCGGTATATCCTGTAAGTCTAAGCACTATTGCTATTACTTTTCAATAATATAATAAACCAACAGCCCAATTGCTATTCATACCTGGTTAAAACCAGGGTGCCAAAGGATTGTGTTCTCAATGATAACTTCTTTCCCTTTTGGAGCATTGGGTTGTAACTTTCCAATTTTAACTCTCTGGAACGATCTGTTTGGGAAAGTGATCATGTTGATAATGTCAAAGCCACCTGGACTTTCTCTTCTATCTTTAAAGAAGACTCTTTCTCCAGCTGAGTTGTTAAAAGAAATCTCTTGAAGTAACTGGTGGAGCTACTTGAAGGAGAAAAATAAAGTCAAAAAGGAAACAATGCATAAAGAATTTCTCTTTCTTTTACTCTTCCTTCCAAGGAAACCAAACAAATACAAAAGAAGAAAATGTCAACACACCAAGAACAATCAATAACTGAAATATGGAACTTACTTTATCAATTAATCGTCATGAGGACTTTAAAGACAGCAAACTCAGCAATTCTTCTGGTAATTTACCATAAATCTAAAAACCAACATCATTTCATGGAAATAACACACCTCTTCTACAATACAACAACTGTCATAAGCTTTATGTTCCCAGGATAACTAACCTGCCTTGATTAAATTTCAAAAAACTAATAAAAAATGAAATGTTCCCATTTCAGAAAGATTTGTTCGGCAAAAAACAAAGACTGCCTTCAGATGCCTCTCCACTGTATTCTTGGAACCAGGACTGATGAATTTATAAGTCAGGAAAGAAGAAATGGTGATTAGTGGAATGATAATAGATACATTCATCCCTTTGATTAGAGTAGTATGAGTTTGAAATCTCTTTTATTCCGTAAAAAGGAACAATCTCTTGCAATAAAACTCTAGTTGCTTTAGGATTCTAATGATATGTGGCTATAGACCAGGGGAAACAAGTCATATCACATTGAGAATTACTATTTGCTAAAACAAAAGATAGGAATGGCATGGGGAGATTACCTGCCAAGGCTGCAGATTTGGAAATTCAACCCTTTGAATTTTTGTCCATTTGGGACTTGGTCTCACTGCCTCATGCAAAGAATGTGCCACTGCATAAACAGCATTGTAGATACTGTAGCTTTGGCTAGTCATCTTCAACTCAAACAGAGGTGCAGGCAGATTCTCCAAATTCTCTTCCCCAGTACAGGTTCCACTGATAGATGAAGGTAAGTCTGCCTTTAAAAACACGCAGTCAAACAATTGTTGCCAAACCTCTTGAAGAAATCCATCTTTGTGGGTGGAAGGTTTGATGACTTGAAGAAATTCTTTGAACCCTTTAACTTCTCTTGAATGCACTGTAAAGGAAAGAGCCCCATGGTACATTTGGAGATCCCAACTCTTTTGAATTCCAGTCAGTATGAAATCAATTGGGTTCATCAGGATCCAAACCTTTCTGAATAATGATCTGTTTTTATTTTCTGGATCACGTAGAAACATGACAGTTCTGAGCCACACTATTGTGAATGATTCTCCGTACACAAGAAAAACATTTGTTTTCTGATCCATCAATTTATTAGAAATAATTGAGACTGAATCGAGCAATTCTGACAAATCTTCTAAGTGGATATGTTGTGGAATGTTTTGTGTGAAAGCTAAACAGATCCCATTCTGTGAAAGCAATGGCTGCAGTTTCTGCAAAAAACGTTCTCCCTTAGTTTCAAATGCAAAGACTCCAATCCACCTCCATCCAAAATGGAGGAAAAGTTGTATAACTCCCATGTACTGATAGTCCTCATTTGGCACCATGCAATAAAGTGAAGATAATTTGTTACTCTGAAATTCTTCCTGGGCAAAAGAGCCATAGGTCAACTACAGGAAAAGAAGGAAGGAAGGAAGGAAG